GCACGTAGTGACTGGCCAGGGTGAGACGGGACACCGGCCACGGCAGACAGGGCCCGAGAGAGCAAGGTGCCAAATGACAACCATGAAAACGGAAAGGCTCAACATGACGGTGAAACCCTCTTTACTTTCTAAGGCCAGCCAGCACTCCACGAGGCAGACTGTCCTAAGATCATTCCTGAAGAGGCTGGAAGAGTGACAGGTAAGGAGTAGCTTGTGGTCAAAGTCAAGGACACCAGTGACAGGACGGTACAACACGAAGTAGCTTGTCCCAGGGAGCCCTCCAGCCCCAAATTTCTCCTCGGCAGGGAGGTCCTTGCCCCATCTGCTGGTCTGTTTTTAACCTATGTGCTCGGTCAGCCTGTCCCTTTGTCACTGCTCAAAGTGGCCCAGGACAGGGTCCACGGCGGACTGACTCCAGGGGCCTCCGGCAAAGAGCTGTCTGTGGAGGGAGCTGGGGCCTGACCTATGCAGCACAGGGAGAGCAGCACACGCTTCTCGGCCTGCAGGCAGACGGCCACCTCTAAACACGCGTCGCTGACAACAGCTACAGCCTTGACCCCGTGAAGCAGCTGGGCAAGAGGCCGCGTCCAGCCTTCCCGGGGTGAGAGGGAACTGCTGTGAGGAGCAGGGGCGAGCCGAAACACGATCAGACGCACATGGGGGTGCCAGAAAAAAGACAAAACCGCAGTCACAGCTAAATCCTGTAACACACGTCTCTCGGTACTCCGCAGATCAAAAACTCAAGCACAAGTTAAAAACGACACAGTGACTAGGTCAGGGGTTGGCAGACTATCGCCGGTGCCCAGTCTGGCCCATGGCCTGGTTTTGTCCTGTTTCCAAGCTAGGAATAGTTTTTACATGTTCAACAAAGCAAAACATCTGACCACGGCCACATGTAGCCCCCAAAGCCTAAAGTATTTACCACCTGGCCCTTTTCAGAAAAAGTTTATCTTTGAGCTATATTAACACAGCTGGCAAGATTCATTCAGTGTGTGCGCGTGCGTGTGCGTGTGTGCAGTCAACTCACAGAGCAGACGCAGAATGTTCAAAATGCTCATCGATTCTAAGCCCTAAGAAGGCTGGCACTACCTTTTGCATTGTTCTTGTTTGTCACCATATCCCTGGGACCTAGGTCAGTGCCTGTGATACAGCAGGTGCTGAGTAAATATTTGCTGAATGAACACACTGTAATTTTACAAAAAGTAATCAATTCTAAGCCATACATAAAGCCTCCAAATCTAAAAAGAAGACTGCACAGGCCACAGTGCAACATTATCAAGATCAGTAATTCTTTGTATCCATTTAAAATATCACATAGATCTTGATTTACTCTGCTGAACAGGCCTCCAGGACTTATTTCTAAGTCAAGTCACAGAACCATACATCTAGTCCTGCTTGTGGAAACAAGAGAAGAAGAGAAACCCAAGTGCATACACACTCACAGTACGAGCGGTCACCTCCACAGGACTTAGCTCCGTGTCAGGCACCATCTGAAATGCTTTACGTGCATTTACTCATAACCCTTTCAACAATCCTATGAGCAGGTGCTATTATTACCTCTCTTTTACAGATAAGAAAACTGAGGCACAGAGAGGTCAACTCACTTGGCCAAGGTTACACAGCTAGCCCGGGGCACAGCTAGAATAGGATCCCAGGCTCCAGGGTTTGTGTTCTTAACCACTGTAGCACGCTGTCTCTTACGTGTGTATGTGTTTGTAAATGCACAAAGATTTAGAAGGATACAAACTGTTAATGAGTGGTTATCTTAGGGGAAAGAAAGAACGCAGGGAGAGACAAGAGGAGGTGTAGAGGGTGTCAGCTTTATGCCCTCTACATTTTCACATTATGTCACTTAAAAAATGAGCAGGTACTCATGGATCAATTACTTTTTAGATTATGTCAAAAATGCGAGTGACAGATGATACAACTCATGAAACAAATTTATCTGTGCACTAAAAAGGCTGCCAAGATTTACAGCTAACAGTATGATACACTGGAGAATGGAGGGTGGAGGTGCTTTTGCCTTCAGTAACTCTCTACTGTTCCATTTTTTTTCATTTTATGAGCAATCATTATTAAAAGGCAAATGAGATATATATTAAAGAGTTTTCCTCTCATGCCTTTTTTTCTCCTGGTATCTGCTACCAGCTTACATTCAATATATCAGTTAGTTCATGGTGTTCTTTGCGGAATATCATGATGGCAAACGACCATATGTGGGAACCATTAGCTTAGTTTATGTGACTAGACGGCTGTATCTAAGACATAGCTAAATATATCTGGTGCACACTGGCAACAAATAAGCTAAAAAAAATGAGGAGAAAGGAGCTATGAATAACTACAAAGTCAGATTCAGGGCAATTTACAAAAAAAACTGGAAAGGAATCAAATGTTACATGGGTGTTTATTTATTTATTATATATTAAAAAATAGCTTGCTCTAATAAAACAATTGTTTTCTCCCTTTCACTTTAAAGAATCACTTGGGAAACTTTAAAAAGGACCTCCCCTCGGCCCCCACTCCCGAGCTCTCTTAAACAGGACTTTCTGGAGGTGGGAGTTGGGCATCGGTGTGTTTTATAAGCTCCTTGTGAGTGTTGGGGTACCAGGCAGAGAACCACTGTTCTGAAAGAATGAACATATTCAGTTATATGTGGTGATTATTTAATAGTTACTTTTGGCCAATGGAAGAAAGGAAAGACATCATGCAAATAGCTTTCTTGAACATGGCTTGATGCCGGCCATGTGGCACACTGCTGTCTACTGGCACCGGAAAAGGGAACTGACAGCTCGATGATTCTGGGGGGTAACCAGATGCCCTCTGAAAGTGAAATCTGTGGAACTGGAGACGCAAGGTAGAAGCAAAGGTCACACAGCAATCATTGGCGCTAATACCGTGGTCTCACATTTGTGACTTTATATATTGAGTGTACTGCTGTAAAATGGATGCAACACACACCAACAAGTGCTTACCGGTTAAAAATGGCCTGCAGGGCCTCCTCGAAACGGCGCAGAACTTTAGGTGGGGTCGGCCACTTCACGTGCTTGCCGTAGTCCCTCATTGTCCTGATGCCCTGGAAGCGTCTGGCCACCTCATGGATGTACGACTTGACTTTGTAGCGACGGTAGTATCGGAGAATTGTCAGAGCCGCCTTGGTCCTCTTGTACCGCATGCGGGCCAGGGTGCCCCGCCACACCTTTGCAGCAGAGGAGAAAAAAAGGAAAACGTTGCTGGATGGCCGAGTAGCAGATCACTTTGAAATCACAGAAACTCCTTTACTTATAAGCTTGTCTGTGGAATTTGCCTGGGTCACAAAATTCAACCCAAAGCATGTCAATTCTGCCTGCCACCAACAGATGGCGCCAGGAGTCATGTCTGTCATTTTGATTCCACGTCCAGCTGTTCATTATCCTCATTGGAATATCTGTTGAGTTTGAAGCAGAGCCCTGTTCTAACTTTACGGTCATGAACAGAAGAAAGCCAAAATACAGTGATCTTTGGATAAATATGTATTATTTTTTTAAATTTGCATTCTTGTTTATTGAAGTATAGTCACTTTACAATGTTGTGTCAATTTCTGGTATACAGCATAATGTTTCAGTCATACATACACATACATATATTCGTTTTCATATTCTTTGGATAAACACTTTCAGAATGTTGAAAGGAAGCAAGATGAGTCAGAACCAAAAGCCATCAACATCTATAGTTCTCTTATGAAACCTAGCTCTACACAGATTATACATATTGGCCATTGGCGTGATGTCGCATTGGATGTACGAACTGACTCACACACAGTCTGTTCAGGCTCTCTCCCCAGGTGCTTTGTAAACTCCCAGGAATTTAGATGTATTCCTGGGGAGAGGGTAAAAGCCAGATGACTAATATCACACGAATCTTTAGTTTTTCCCCAGGGCTCAGAGATCAATCAGATGTATATAAATGTCCCAGTGCCTGCTTTATCCAAGCATGGTGAATTGAGAGATACTTGTATATATTTTTTTCCAGATCCTTTGTCCTGGTTCCCATAGTTCTCAGTCTTTCAAGTAGAAAGAAATCTGGTGTCACCTTCGAGGCTTCATCGGCTCTTCCCCGAAATATGCTGTCTACCACCAGACACACTCTTTCTTCCTCAGTATTTCCAGTATAAATCTCTTTCTTTTCCTTTCTGCTACTACAGTCTCCCAGACCCCAAACGACCGACCTGCTTCCTTTGATAAACTCTTTGTGCAGACCACCATCATGCCGCAGCTGATCCTCACGGCTGCTGTGTAAATGGCTGTTCCAATTCTCAGGTCGATGGTACCACTTCCCTCCTGTCTCTGGCCTCTCAGGACTACGATAGTCGATCTCTAGCTCAAAGCCACAGTGTGAGTTCTCCAGGCTCCCTCAGGGGACTTTTCTTTCTTCTTAAGCCCCCATCTGTGCCCACCAATTTCCCTCAGCAAAACCCGTGTGATGCCTCTTTCATTCAGTCATTTCAGGCTGGTCTTCACACACTCCTCCAACAGGCACTGTGCGCCCGCAACGCCCTCCTTTCCCAGCCTGCTGCCCAAGAGAGGCAGACTTGTTTGCACGCAAATGTGAGAGGGTCATCCAGGGACCCCAGAGAGGAATTAACAGGTCAAGGGAAACCAGGGTACGTGAGGGACACATGACGTGGGAGCGAATCTGATGGAACCTGGAACTCACATACAAACAGAACATATATACACACACACATATATGCACATACATACATATATATACGGGGGGGGGCAGTGAAAGGTAACTCAGTCTTGCACGTGGCATCAGCACAGTAATGCTTTTTAGTCAAAATGGCTCTTTTCCTGTGGCCGAATCCATCACACACATGGCTCTGTTAGGCCCCCACCCAAGCACTAAAATAAAGGTCCCTTCTTTAGTATCTTGAGAAACCAAAAGAGCACAATTAGAGGGTAGAAGTCTGTGATTCTGATTCTTAAAGAAAACACATTTTTCAAGTTTCATATTGTTTCTTGCTTTTTTTCCCCAAAGAAGAAAGAAATGAAAGACTTTCTAGAACCACATCTATATAGGAAATCAATCTTTAATTTTCAAGAAATATTTTATAGATATTTTTATTGAAATATGTCTGGTTAGATTCTTCAGTAACTTGAAAAAAATTATAAGTAAGTGCTTTGTAAGGGGTAGAGTTTTTTTGTTTGTTTTTTTACAACCTTTAAGATTTCATCTTGTCCTTGGTTTATTTAGGTTTTGTGTAGCTGAAAAATCAAATAGCACAAAAAAGTATAAAAAAGACAGCAGCCCTTCCTCTTGCCCTCCCAAGCCTACTTCTCCACCTTGCAGTCTCATTCCACGCCAACTGTTTTAACTGCTTCTTCTGGTATTTACAAATAATACACATATATGTTATTTCTCGGTAGACCATTTTAGACAGCACCCAAATTACAGAAGTTGGTACATCACTGTTACTTCTCTTCTAGCATCCCAGTAATAATTACGTCAACACGTTAAAGTCAACAGTGCTTACATTATCACATATGTTAACTATATCACACACTGCAGAGGCAATTTACGTAATACACATATGCATACTCCACGTCGTATACTGCATATGCCTTTGGTTCATCACTGTGCTAAGGAGCATAGCATGGCTACCATTCCTTCACGCTGTCATGTAAGCTTGTTTTTATTTATAGTTAGTAACTGTCTCAGTTTTAAAAAATCTGCTTTATTTTCTAAATACTGCTAATTTTGACCATATGCTCCAAAAGACCCATCAAAGGATCAGCAGTCAG